CCGCTAGAGAAGATTGTTCCTACTCTAATTAGTATTAGTTACGTAGGACACTAAGAAAGGGAGGATCCCTCTCCCTTCCTAGCTCTTAGATAGACGTAGCAATCTAGGCCTATAGCCTCTAAGGATAGGGACCTTAGGCCGCTAAGCTTAGTATCTAGAAGAAAGAAGAACGCACGGGCTACGTTTATATGCCTACTGCTGTAAAAGGTAATGCTACATCTACAACGATAGTACTATAGGCTAATATAAGCTACGCTAGGCCTAGGCGATTTGCTCCTAGTTGCCGAGTATCTCTAGAGAAAAGCTAATGCTACCCCGGGGGTATTATTAGTCCCGCTAGCCTTACTACTATAGATTACTACTAGGTACTCGAACTAACTAGTCGCATTTCGAGTACGCGGGAATCTACGAAAGCTAAAGGTTAATAAAGGCGCGTAGTCGCTACTAGCAATTAGCTAGATCGATTATTAAACTTTAGCCGCCCTACTAATAAAGGAGTCTCGTATGTAGCTTCACTTTTTAGGGTCTATATATAATCGTTATCCGTTTGCTTTACCGGAATATACGGACTACGCTACCTTCGCACCCTATTTAAGGCAAGCTTTCTAAGCTCTTTCTTCTACTCGAATACTAACTAACTTACTACCGCCTATCCCCTCCCCCTTCTTCTATCTAAACCCTTTAATTATTATTAACAAGCTACGAACGTTTTTGCAAACTCGTTACTAACTCCTTTCCGCTCTAGTCGACTAAGATATCTTCCGGCGCCCCGAATCCGCTAGGCGCTAGTAGTAGTAGCAACCTACTAGCCCTAAACCTAGGCGTACTAGTCCCGATCGAAGCCCCCTCCGATAGCGCCTTAGCTGCTATAACTAGCCTCGAGCACTGCTTCTAGATCGTTACCGCCCTTAAAGACCCTTAAGAGAAGATCTAGAACGCTCGTACCCTACTACGCGTTATCGATAGGAACATTAAGAAGGCTACTATCTTAGTTACGTACGGTATAAACAACTTACGTTAGTCTATCGGTAAGCGTATCTTTAAGCGCGAGGTCCTTAACGATATAGATATCGAACAAGCCTTTCCTATCGTCTATAGCCTCGAGACGGCCGGTACCTAGATTCGTTTACGCTTTAAGACCCTCGACTAGGCCTTCGAATATTAGGGAGGACTAAGTAGTCTCCCTAAGAGCCTTATTAACTTCGCCTATAGTAGATAAGAGCGTATAAAGCAGGTCTCTTCGTTCGTTAACAAGTATAAGGTCCGTCGTTAAGGCGCTAAGCACCTTTCTCGTACTATAATCTATCGTATATCTACCGCTAGCAAGAAGGTAGGCAAGCAGTTACTTAACTTGTCCTTTGCGCTTAACGACTTTACGACATCCTACTAGAAGCGGTACTACGATACAATTGTCTAGATCGATCTTAATATATAGACAACTAAGGATCTACTAAAAGAGAAGGGCTATCGCATTAATAGTATAGGTTTTATTATTAAAGGTTAAGAGGCTCCTATCGTTAATGTCCTTAAACGTAAGGCTCTTCGCCTAGAAATAGAGGCCGATACGGCTACTAGTCTCGCGCTCGCTACGGAGATGTAGGCTTAAGACCGTCGCTCGATCCGTAACCGCAAGGTCCCTTAGGAAGTTAAGGACGAGCGCGCTAAGGCCGAAGCAGCGCGTAAGAAGGCACCGCATACTCGCTAGGCCCTCCGTAAGGCTACTAAGAAGTATAGCGCCCCTTCTAGGACTAACTATAGTACTAACTATAGTAACTCGGATGTTAATATACTAGATGTACTACTAGAAGATGTCTCCTCCGAAGGCTCCTTTAGCGAGCGTAGAGATAGAGGGCTCTCGCCGATCCTATTAACTAAGAACATTTATAGTTCTTATAAGGGCGACTCTATTACGTACCTTATTACTAAGATCGATATAGTTCCTAAAGCCGATATAGGCAAAGCTCCTACTACCCTATCTATCTGTTAATAGCTCGACGACCTTAGTAAGCTAGGAGAAGAGCCGTTCTCTATATATGCTAACTATATTAAGAAGGCCGCTAAGGTCTATAGTCTCTATACTAGTACTAAGGCGATTGTCCTCGTCGGCTGCCTATTAAAGATTAGTCGCGAGGTTCCTAATTAAGACGCCTTCGCTGCCCTTAAGGCTAATTAGGCCTATGCTAACTAGTTTCCTAGACGCCCTATTACTGCCCCGACATCTCTAGGACTCTACGCGTTCAACCCTACTAGTACTATTACTCGCGCCCTTACGCTAACAGATCGCTAAAGCAAGTTCGTTACCGGTATCCTTAGCTAAGGCACTTCCTTCGACCGCTTTCGCTAGACTAGCAATACTATCTTCCCTTAAGTCTTTAGCTAGTTACAAGAGCCTCGTAGAGCATATCTTCCTTTCCTTATCGACCTAATATAGGAGGAGTTTGAAATGTACCTTTAGCATATACGTACGATGCCTAAGTCTAAGTAGGAAGGCCGTAATACCCTTTAAACTTATAGTATAAGCAACTAAATCGTCCGCTAGTACCCTGCCCTATAGCTCTTAGCGGTCGCCCTTCGACCTAATTACGTATACGAGCTTATCTCTATCCCTAAGCCTGCTAAGTTCTTTAAGGTTAGCGGTACTTATAAAAACTGTCCTTCTAAGGAGTCTGCTCGTCTCGGATAAGACGTAGTTAAGCTCGCAGCTAGCGAGGGTACTAGTTACCTACGTATTAAGGTCTGTCTTATATCTAAGGATAAGACTAGCTACTCTACTATTATCGAAGGTATATATTAGCCCGAGGTCTTTGCGAACTAGGTTAAGAAGCTTAAGGCTCGTAGCCTAGTCCCGCTAAGCAAGATCGGCAAGCTTACTAATAAGTACCTTACCGACGACGACCTCGACTATATATTCGACAGTTAGCCTAATAGTAAGGGGCGTAAGGCAGAGTAGATCCTTAACCCTCTAAAGGAGTGCGAAGTCTCTATTTAGATGCTACACCTGCTATATAGTAATCTAAAGACTAAGAGCAACCGTATATTAATTAACCTAGGCTACTCTCGCGTTATCGACGGCACTAAGATTAAGGGTTACGATAACTTAACCGTCGCTAAGGTTGCTAAGGCGCACCGCAATCTAACTGCCCTTCTAGGTTCGAACACCTTCGTACCGTTCCCCTTCCCTACCGCTATCTTAGTCGAAGGCCTTAGTTGTATCTCCGACGCCCTAGTTAGTAGGATTCCTTAGTTAAGTTGCGTTATTTAGGACGAAGTTAAGTAGATCCTCTAGCTTAATAACGAGGGACTTAAGGAATATCTATACGATTAGGAGAATACTACGAAGGAAAAGGCTACTAACCTCCTCGTTAATTAAGCTTTCTACGAGAGATAGTACTTCGGTACTAACAGCTTTAACGTATACGGAGGAGATTTCGAGAGCCGACTAGCAGATAAGGTTATTGCTAGTAAGGATTATAGCGCGTTAAAGCAATAGTAGGTCTATATAGTGTTACTTAGGAAGTTGTTTTTATATAATTATAGTATCTAGGATTAATACTATCTCGGGGGTGTTATTGCGGAGTTCTAAAAATGGCCTTAGCTAAGAACGCTAAGGATATATATATATTTGTTTTAAGCGCGCAATATAAAGCGTGTCTAGTTAGATACGAAGAAAGGGAGGGATATTAGCTAGTAACCGGCCCTACACCTATAGGCTAGTTTTAAGCCTATATAAGAGGCCTCCTTCTACATTGTAGATAGAGCATTAACCTCGTATAGCATATTGTTTATATTACACTTCTATAATGCCTATATTGCAGGGCTCTAGTTATTAGCCTAAGCGACAGTCTCGTTAACCTATCTTGCTAAACATAGCTGCCTATATTACTATAGGTTATATTACCCTCGGTAGCCTATACTATTGCTATAAGTAGTAGTAGTAGTGTTAGTTTCCGTCCTTTACTAGTATAATATCTTCTTATCCTTTAAACCCTTATATCTAAACTTGCCGTAGGTCTTCGTATACTTCTTAAAGAAGGCATCTATAGCTCCTAACTGCGCGATAGGCAATCTAGTCGCCTTATCTTCCTTCTAACCGGATATCTTAATTATTACGAGATAGCGCCTAGTATCTTAACGCCGAGCGTTACCCTTACGATAGATAGTATCTAAATTAACCTTATCGACACGGTCTTTAGGCGTTACTTTCCTTACTTCGTCTACCGCGCGCTTCTAACCTATAGGTTTAAATCTACCTATTCCGTCTTACTAACTATTCGTATAGGACTATAGTAGCGACTAATCTAGCGCTACAACTATCTCTCGTATCTAATTTAGCTACTTTCTACTAGACTTAGGCGTAGCTAATCTACCGCTTCTTCGACCCGATCTATTTAATTCTACCTCTAGTATACCCTACGAGGGCGTAGTCTCGACGAAGCCTTCGGAAGGCGCGAGTAACGGCGAATACGACTAATTATATAGACCTAGCGTCTGCGAGCCTAGCGTAACAATAGTACCGAATAGGTCGCTATAAGGACTATTATATCGTAAAAGAGGTAACGAGCTATTAGGTCTAGGCGTTTAATCCTATAGAAGAGGCGTACTATTAGTATTCTACTTAAAAGAGGCTATCTCCTACTACTACTAAGCGTTAGTTAATAAGTCCTTACCGGATAAGAGGTTCGCTAGGTCTATTACTGCTATATAAAGGCATTAACAACAACAATCTACGCGTTTAGCAGTAGACGCGAAGTCTGCGACCTAGGCGGCTTAGTAAGGCACGATCTATACGATAATTAAGACGATAACTAGACGGCCAACACACTTAATTATCGTAGCGATTATAGCGCTATACAGCAACGATAAACAGTGGAGACAATCGCTAAGAATACTAAAGAGTTAGACTAATAATAGGCACGATAAACACGACGATAATCGAGCAACGCAACGGGCCCATGGAGACCCCAGTCTTCCGCCTGTCGCTGTCGCTGCTTGCATCGATAATGCAGCTTTCGTTCCTAGCCATGAAAGTTGCGTGGGCGAAGATCAAACCTCTGCGTTCGTCTCTCGAGCACTTCATCATCTTTAGAATCGAGCGATCATTAGGGGACTTCCTTAGCAACATGGGCTACGACGACGTGGACACCACCAACTGGCCTGCCGGAACACGATACTTCACTCAGATCACAGACTACAACCACTCGGGATGGCTCTATATAGTAACCCTGCTGTCGTTCATCTACGTCCTTCTCACATTCATCATCCGTTTCGTGGTGAAGTACGGTAAGCTATCGTGACCGAAAGAGCTTGCGCCCCGTCTCGAAGCAGCTGACTTCTTCATGCAGGTGTGTATGGCCTGGACGACTGGGCGCTCCTGGCTTCCACTGTCCTTGCCGTCGGCCAATACATCGCCGTATTGGCTGCTCTCTCAGAAGGCCTGGGCAAGAGTACATCACTCCTGGACAGCGCACAAATCAGCAAAATCGAGCAGGTAATATGGTCTCGGAAATGCGAGATTCATGACCAACGCTGATCAAAAGCAACAGTGTGCCTCCGCACACCTTTTTCTCTACTTTCTGGCGCATTGTGCTTCGAAAATCTCCACGGCACTCCTGACCCGGAGACTCTTCGAGAATGCTCGGCCTCGCAATGCCCATCTATGCTGGGGTCTTGTCGCCTTCTCGGCCGTCTACGGAGTTGGGTGTATACTAGCAGCAGCAATAGGATGTTCAAGTTCTGGATATCCCACGAGTGGAGAGGGAGTCTGTCCTAATCGAGTAAGTAACCGTACAGCCTTTCATTCTGAAAAAAACGTCGCTTACTGACCTGCCGCACAGTTTGTTCGGTGGCAGATCATTCTAGCTTTGGACATCGTCACCGAGACGCTACTCGTATTTGTGCCGCTTTTCCTGATCATGGAAATCCTGATCAAGCGCGCAGCAAAAGTCACCGTTACGCTTGTCTTTGCCTTTCGCCTCGTGGACGTTCTTTTTGCAGCAATGAACCTCCATCAGGTCGGTGTGGTCCAGCATAGTGATGACCCGGGAGTGGCCATTGTACAGCCACTTATATGGACGCAAACGGAGCTTCTTTGGTCTATCATTGCGGCATCGCTTCCGTGCCTGAAAAGCTTCATGAAGCCCTTCGACAAGATTGATGAGGACACATGGCGCTCACAGGGAAACATGTACTCCTCGTCACGCTCAGGGGGTCGGAGCTGGAAAGAGAGCAGAGACAGGGAAGGGGCAGTGCCTCTGGAAGCTATTCGAGGACAACGGTTGGGTAACGTGATCAGTGCCTCCAGCAACGACAGATCGCTCAGTCTTAGCCCAGAGCCTGTGGGCCACGACGTGATCATCCGGCACTCAACGAATGGTACGACTCAAGATGAGATCCGAAGAAGTTGGGGCAGTCAAGATCACATCGTCAAGGCCTCCAGACTGGGAGGTCAGACGTGACGGAACAGGAAGAGACCTATAGGAGATACCTTGAGCTACCCTTCGGCCAAAGATGTAGCTCCCCAGTGCAATCCAACGGTCGATGCTATTCGGACATACAGGACGAATGGAACACGTCTGGCCTTCAATAAGCTCCGAGTGAACGAGGTCTAGGCTGATACTCAGACCCTTCTCTGCGAGTGAAAGACCCATCAGCTTCCGAAATCTTGGTTCATGGAAGCCTCCGCTCATTCACTCACGGTGAAAGTGAACGCATTGACCTTGCCGCGCAGTCGTCGCTATAACAACGCTCAGACTTCCTTTCATATTTAAATCCTTCTCTCTTACGCCTTCGCCACTTTCAGGGCCTTCACCAGTCACACTCTTCGTAGATTTCTTGGTGACCTCGAGTCGCTCTGGATAGCCGCCATCAGGCACCACCGCGACCTTCCATCAGGAAGTCTCATCAGCATTCTCATTGCATTGCGAATCACCTCATCATCGCCAGGATGTCTACCACGTACGAATACACCACCACCAACATCAAGGCAGACCAGCCTGCCCAGCCGAGCAAGCGCTTCAGCCTACTACGCAACAAGAACGGCTCACGCGACAGTGGCACCAAAGCGTCAACGAAGTTGCACCTCGAGCTACGAAACTCGATGGACAAGGCCAAGAGAGCCTTCAAGAAGGCTGCCTCGCTCACACCAGGCCACGAGCAGCGTGTCACGCGCCGCGAGAACATTCGTGATGCACTCATTGACACAATGGTGCTGAAGTCGACACTTCGAGACGAGAAGAAGAAGCTTCGCGCGTCGGAGAAGGTCGCGGAGGATGTGAAAGCTGAGCTCGAGTCTGTCAAGCAAGCACGACAGACTCTGCAGGCAGATCTCGAGCAGGAAAAGAATCTCGCCACTATCCAGGAGGAGAAGTTGAACGAACTCAAGATTCAGAATACTGTGCATGGACTGCGCCTCGAGCTGGAGACAAAGAGCTCTGCCGCGTGGAAAGCCGAGGACAGCAAGCAGATCAAGGAGCTGAAGCAGACCAACGAACAGATCAATACAGATTTCGAAGTCAAGCTCGAACAGAAGAAGGTTGAGATCACGGAACTTCAATGCGAGCTCTTCGAACTTCACCAACAGGTTGAGGTCGTCGGTAGCAAGCTCGAGGCCGCAGAATTGCAGGCGGCCGAGAAGATCGAAGCGCTGGAAAACACAATCAAGCAGGTGGAGCTGAGCGCCGAGCAACATCTCACCTCTGAGAAAGACAAGTTCGAGCGCGAGAACAGCAGTTTGGCTTGGGAACTCCACCAGGCGCAGAAGAGCTTTGGGAGCGAGCGTGCTCACGTGAACGGCTTGCACGATGAGCTTGCCTTCGTCGAGGCTGAGAATCTCAACTTTGAGAGCGACAATATCCGTCTGCGTGCTGAGCGGGATGATCTGCACACGAAGCTGGCCTCCGTGAGCAACGAGCTTCAGGATGTCAAGAAGGCCGTGTCGTACGCAATCGAGCGTATGTACCTTGACAATCCATTGGTCAAGAAGGATCCAGAGACTACTTCGCTTTCGGACGCTCTTCAGGATCATGTCGAGATCAACAAGAAGAAGATCGAGGCTGCTCGTATCTACCAAGCGAGAGCTGAGAAGGAGGTCGCGGATGAGAAGACCAAGTATCGGCAGCTGGCTGACAAGACAGCTGAGCAGCGCCAGGAATGGCTGGCTATGAAGAAAGAGATCGGAGACTGCAAGGGCGCTCGCAAGCAGGCTGAGTATGACCTCGTCCAGCAGGGCCACAAGTTCGAGGCTGTCAATTCTCGAAACCAAGAATTGGAGACCGAATTGGAGGAAGTCAAGCAGACCTCTCAAGCCGCCAAGGAGAAGGGCGAGCAGCTCGAGAAGCATCTTGCAGAGGCAAAGCAGAAGAACGAGCAGCTTGAGATGAAGCTTACAGAGGCGAAGAAGATGGCAGAAAATTCCACGCAGAAGAAAGTCGACGGCCGCGATGATGACGCAGAAGCCAAGATCGCCGAGCTCACGCAGCGTTGCGCTCAGCTGAAGCAAGAGAAAATCGACCTCCAGGACGAACAGGAAACCGAGGAATGCATTGCTGCTGAGAAGATCTCGAATCTTGAGCGAGAACTCGCCGGTGCGAAGGCTCAGCTTCAGGAGCACGGAGATGCATTGAAGAACGCCAATAGCTGGCTTCAAGAAATGGACGAAATCAAGAAGCACCAGCATGAGAAGGTGCTCGACTCCATTACCCGCGCCAATAGAGCCATTCAGCTCCAGACCCTAGCCGAGAAGGCGTACGACGAAGTTTCCGAGGAAAAGAAGCTTCTTGAGCGACAAATCGACGGCGAGCAGGCTTCTTTCGAGGCCGAGATTTCGCAGCTGAAGCAGACTTTTGGCGGAATGCGTGAGGATTTGCGGTCCGCTCTCGAGGGTGTTGAGGATGGTCTTATGAGTGGTGAGATGAACAATATTCATGAGGCTGTCGTGGATATGCGCGACATCTTGGGCTCGAGGGAGATCGTGGATGAATCTCTCGAGGAGTCGGGAATTGAGCAGCAAGAGGCGGGGTCTGAGCAGGCTGAGGCTTTCAATGATGAGGAGGGTGAATACCATGGCCATGACCTCAGTACTATTGAGGAAGAGACTGAGGAGGAGGTCGCTGCGCAGGAGGAGGAGGTGGAGGAGGAGCTCGAGCCCGCAGTGGCCGGCGAGAACGCTCACGAAGACTTCGACGTCGCCGCGGTCGATGAGGACCAGGAAGAGATCGTCCTGGATGAGATCGAGCAGCTCGATGCTCTTGGATTCTGGATCCTTGCATGAAAATGGTCGAGAGATTTGCACCAAGAGAGAACGAGGCTGAAGCTCGACAGAGGTCTTGAGCTGGTGTTTTGTGGGCCGTTTGCGGTTTCTCCAATGACTGGAGAGAAGAGATCATGAGTAATGTACCAGCGTCCTGCTTTACCAGGTTGACTTCGAAGATGGCCACCGCCTTTTCCCCGTCCTCTCCCTTTCCTTCAGCCTTGGAGAGAGTGACTTGCCAGGCTGACGATCGAAAAGCCAAAGTTAGACCATCACTTAATATGAAAAACCTCATCCCTCCCTTCTCCCTCCCAATGCCTCACCACAGCCTCCCCCTCCATAAATCCCTGAACATAACATTCCCCCACCAACCTCCACTGCTCCCCATCAGGCCTAAGCACAAAAGGCGTATAACCCCCAAAAAGCACAACGACAACATCCCCAGTCCGCATACTCGGAGGTCCAATCCCAATGTATCCCGAAGCCATGACGAAAAATCTCCGGAATTTACAAGCTCGCCAGAAAGCACTTAGGAAGCGTGATGCTCTCCATGTCAGCGGTTCGGAGAGTTGGCTGAAAGCGTTGAGGGCGCGGATGGGAGGTGGGACGGTAGCTGTCGTTTCGACGTACTCTTCGAAAGCGGCGAGGCCGGAGATGTCTTGTTTAGATACGGGTTTGGATTCTAGACTGCGGTTTGCGAGGAGGGTTGTTGCCATGGCTGTTAGAAGATCATCGTAGACGAGATGAGGATTTTCTTGCTGGGAAACCATTGCTTTCGCTTCTGATATGAGTGTTGAAGCATGCTCTGATTCACTGTAAGAGCCTGAGATCGTTGTGATGGTAGAGTCAGATCTACTACCAGGGATCACGCCTTTTAGAATCAACGTGTTCAGACCTCCGAATCTGGACATCACAACCTGTGCTGATGTACCTTTGCTAGCGTCGAAGTAAGTAACCAGACCAGAAGTATCCTTTTCGGAGTTCCACTTCCGATGCCAGCGCGGGATCCAGGAAGGAAAGCCATCGTCTTCATCCGGCCAATGCGAAACGTTGTTGAGACTTTCAAGTGACTGTTGGTCTAAGATGGTGTATTTGGTGCCGTCCCGAAGCACTTCAATCACGCTCTTGTTGTAGTCCGGCTCAATCAGTATTGGCAGTCTTCGACGGGGTAAGTAATGTCGATAGAGGCCAAGAACCCCATAAACATGATCTCTCGGATCCAGAGTTTGGAAGCGCTGCAGCTTTCGGAGAAGAGAAGACAACTTCACCTTGTCTGTTTCGCCAAGATTCCTTCTCTCGGGTCCATGCTCTGGGTCTGCTAACTCTCCTACTGTAGCAGCATTGAAAAGTCCTGCATGTGACCGCAAGTCACACACCAGATGATTTCGTTTCGAGTACAGGAAAGCAGCAGCTCTGAAAACATCCAGCATCGGAAACTCATGGGACCCACAATATCCCACATTGAAAGGGGAGAGTGCAGCTTCTTGAACCACCCACAAGCGTTGGAACCACGGTCGCGCAAGGAGGTTCAGGAATGGTTCAACTTGGAAATGAGACATGAATCCCGACAGCGAAGGCGGAACATGTCCTGCATCGTCATAGACGTCGCCGAAGAAAGTTCTGAAATTGTCGGTCTCGAGTCTAGCTTCGTCAAGGATGATGCGCATCGTATCCAGAGCCGGCGCAACAAGTCCATCATCTTCACCAAGCCAGATCAGATTCCTTGTTGCACGGTGATAGACCAGGTGCATATTTGAGACCTGGCTACCTCTCTCCTCCACGTCAGTCTGATTGATGCAGATGGCATCTATCCAGATCGTCCTATCGATATTCGGATCTCTGATGCGCATCAAGGCTGCGTGGGCATTCTTTGAGACATCCACCGTCGTCTGGCCATCAAGCACGATACTGGACTTTTTGGTGATGTCGCCCCAGCAGTAAGAGACGCTTTCATATTGAGGCAGGTCGCCGTCTAAGGAGACGGTGTTGAGCTTGCAATGGATCTCATCCCCCTTACCAGCTTCCACGGTCACAAGACGTATCTCTCTGGCCGATGTATCGAGTGGTTGATAGAAGCTGGCCATAATGGCTGTGGGTTATCGACGATTGTTGTCCACCTCACTGAGACAGAGCCGCACTTCGACGCAGGCGGAATCGATCACCAGGCTCGCCATCTCCATGTGCAGGAGTGCAAGCTTCATTGAGATGCCACAAACGCCATGGTAGCTCTAGCAGGGAAGAGCAAGCGGCAATTGTAGTCGCACCGCCGTGAGCCTAGTCGAAGTCGTGAAGGTGCCGCCGTACTGGTATAGCCTTGGTGCCACGCAATATCACTCCTGCGGGTTGATGTACAAGACGAACTCTAGACTAACACGCTGTGCAGTCACGAAGAATCGGCAGTCCACAAAAAAGCCACGAAAGGACGGAGCTCCATACATACCAGAGGCTCAATGCAGACTTGGTACTGCAATTTTTGCCCCTACAAATTGTTTTTAATATATCTTGTTATCTAGAGGACTTATAGCTAGACAATATAAGACAAAGATACTCTAATCTAGGTCTATTTTTAGAAAAAATCAAAATTTTTAGTCGTTGCCTACTAAATTAATAAGCTATATAGCCTAAAACTCTAAGTTAGACGTTTTAGGATTTAAGCGTTTTTTTAAGCCTTAGTATACTATTTTTATTAATCTGAAGTCTAGGTCTTATAGCCTTACTTTATAAGACTCTATATTAAGGTTTCTATCTTAATATAGCTACTATTAGTAATATAATCTAGAAAAGAATACTATAAAAACTTAAATTGTTCTTAGATTCTATCTTATATATCTTTGTATTTAGAAGAGTTATAGCTTAGTAATATAAGACAAAATTACTTTACTTTCTATATATCTTTAGAAAATAACTAGAATTATTATAGCTATCTACTAAGATTAGCCTAAAATTCTAGAATTAAGATTTTAAGATTTTAGTATGTTTTAAGCCTTAGTATACTATATTTAGTAATCTAAAATCAAAACCTAACAGTTTTACCTAGTAAAATTTCCTATTAGAGCTTTTACTTTTATTATTTTATAAATAGTCTTATAACTTAAGAAAGAATATTTTTTAAAATTCTAAACTTTATATTCTTAAGCTTATAATTCTTAAAAATATTCGCTTTTAGAGTTCAAGACTAATAGTAGGCGTATTTAGATAAGAATCTTAATATAGATTAAAGCTAGGTAAAACCTTTAGTTCTAGCTTTTAGATTACTAAAAATAGTGTTATAAGGCTTAATAAATACTAAAATCTAAAAGTCTTTCTTTTAGACTTTTAGGCTAATCTTAGTAGATAACTATAACAGTTTTACTTAATTTCTAAAAATATATAAAAAATAGAGTATCTTTGTTTTATATTATTAAAGTATAACTCTTCTATATAAAAAGATATACTAAAGAGAACCTAGTAAGAATTTAGGTTCTAATAGTATTCTTTTCTAGATTATGCTACTAATAGTAGCTATACTAGAATAAAAATCTAGAACTAGATTTTTTTTTAACAAAACTATAAGACCTAGATCTTGGATTACTAAAAACAGTATACTAAGGCTTAAAAAACACTAAAACTCTAAAACGTCTAACTTAGAGTTTTAAGCTATATAGCTTATTAATTTAGGAGGGAACGACTAAAAATTTCAATACTTTCTAAAAATAGACCTAAATCAGAGTATCTTTGCTACATATTGTTTAGCTATAAGTCCTCTAGATAAAATGATACATTAAAAACAATTTGTAGGGGCAAAGATTGTACTGTATCGCTGCGGTAAGAAGCGCTGCATTGAGCCTCTGGTACGTATAGGCCTCCGTACGAAAGCTTATTTTCCACGACCTATCGAGTACCTGGACAATCAACATCAGATTCACCTACCCAATCAGCCCAGAACGACGGTTAGGTGTAAGGGTTGTCTCTATGAGAGCAGTATAGCTCGCCCTGAATCCGAACTTGCAGTGCTTACTACAGGCAGCGGCAGACCTCCGGGAATAACCAAACATTGAATTGATCGATGAAGCATGAGCCTCAAAGGCCTCTGAGACGGTCACTTACCACCAAAGGTCCTACACGGCAAGTCTGACATTTGTGATTATACGCATCCAGGGTTCACGACTCTCGAATTCCTGCCCGCTTTTGGAGAGATCATTCGGACGTATTATCGATACTACTAACTCCATCGATGGAATCGAAGAGTTGCACCGACAACATAGTTAAGGATCTACTCTGACACCATGGCTAGCTATCAGTCATCGAGGCGAACAAGACTGTCAGCCAGCTCATCTATGGCGTGAAGCCAGGAGACTTCAAGAACAGGCCAGAAGAAACTTCGGACTTACTCAGAGAGAGTATTTCGAAAGTATCAAAGATTTCATCAGTGGATTTATATCATATCCAGAGATATCCATACTTCCAATCTTTCGATCAGAAGATGTGCAGTTGCGCAAGCCAGGGATCGCTTCCGTGGTGACAACCAACCACCTAGCGAAATTTGATGAAGAAATCGAGATCTCGGTATTCGCCGGCAAACCAACATTGACTCACGAGCGATATATGCGGGTCCTGCGCAAACAAATCGACGAGCATGATGACTGAATTGCTGTCGCTGCAGAGTTCTTTGACCATGATAGGAGGAGGCCTCGAATCAGCGATCGACGAATGTCTAGGCGTGCGAAATCTTGGCAAGGGATACTTTGACATTGACTGTTGCACGCACTGGAAGTATGGCGTGTCCGAGGAGCGAGGCGCTCTGATGGTACTACGTCCGGATGGCATACTTGGAGCATCGGCACCTTTGGATGGCTTTGCCGATCTCGTTATCCCTTATTTCGAGCGGTTGCTCATGTCCGGGCTAGCGAAGCAGCCGCTGTTGCACACATTAAGAGCGGAAGTCGGCGAGCTAAAGATCGCTGACCAGAGCAGCCTGGAAAGCGGAAAGCCGATTAACGGGATTGTGGCATAGCTGCAGCAATAGAAGGCAGATATAGGCATTCCTGGTCAAGATGAGGACCTTTCAGCCGCCGTGATCCATATCGTGTACCAACACACTCCCAGCATCGCTTGGTAAAGTGGACGAGCTCGGTGCCTGCACATTATACATCGGCTGGTACCTCTCATCTTGCAAGTCATCCGAAGTCCTGTGGATAACCGAACTGAGGCTTTCTTGGCTTTGCGGCTCTTGAGACTGAAAGGGCGTATTCGCACATGATGATTGAGCTTCGTATGCTGTGACGGGGCTGATGACACTGGATTGCGGAGATTGAGGACGCGGCGAAGGTGTTGCAAACCATGTATCATCATCACTCGGGCCTGGAAATGAAAGCAGTGGTAGTTCTCTGAGAGATTCTGCTCGCTCGCCAGACTGAATTCGAATTTCCTTGACAATCTCTGAATCCAGACTCGTCATGCCAGCTAACAGTTGGGCGAAGGTTTGCATCAGGGCATTGAACTCCTCCAATGTTGAAGGTCTGCCACCAAACCTGGCCTTCTCGTATTGCAGCAGGAACTCTTGACCAATCTCCGGAGGCTGGACGAGACCCAGGTAGCCCAGCTGCGTAAGATATTCTCGCATAGCCATGTTCGCCGGCCTTGTGAGAAGACCAACCACAACTGGATCGACAGGCCGAGCTTGGCCTTGAACAGGCGTAGCCTTAGGATCTGCGGGAGCAAGTGAGACAGCACGAGCTTCCACAAGATTCGGTAGCTCGCCAACGACCTCGGCAAAGCGCACATGAGGGTTCTTGTTGTCGTCCTGATGGCTCGGAGATGTCCATCCAGCATGCTGTATATCTCCCCAAGGTGGATGGGACGGGTCCACGACAATCTCCGTGCCGACCGTATAGTCATTGCGATTGATGCTGTCAGAATCCTGTGGCAGAACGCCCTCTTGCTCGCCCCATAAGATCTCTCCAAACAAATCGCGCGGTCTGCCTTCCCATGCTACAATTGCACTCCTCCTGAGCTGCTTTACGATCATTTTGCGCACGCTCTTTCCAACCTCGCCGTCTTCGATCGGCACGTATGGCTTTCCCACTGTGGATATCACAGACCTATTGGTGTAGAGTCGACTGCTGTAGATGAAGATTGCGATGATGGCCGTCAAGACGTACGAGCCTCCTATCATGATCGTATATTGAAGAGCAAGTTGCTGAATGGTTGAGTATAGCATCGAAATCGGCGTGATGGCTAGGAAGACGAGTGTCAGAAGGTAGAGAGCCGTGTAGGTCAAGCTATAGAAGACTCGGAAGAAAGGTATGCGGAATGGCAACACTCGCCGCCCACGGATCATAGTGGGTGCCATCGTAGTATGTATTCGGAGGCGCAGCTGGTGTGCTGCTTTGCTGTGGTGGTTACATGCCAAGGTGGATGATGTGTGGTGCAGACAGAAGTCAAGTTGAGGTGCGGGCAATGGGCATTGATGTTGCGAAAGCTGCGGCGGCGGCCTGGCCTTAATCTATGACCACAAGCAACAATGGATGGAAAACAAGCAACATGTCCAGGACTAAAGTTCTCGATTTGAAGGGTATCATGATACAGAAACAACCTCTATAGAAAAAATTTGCACAAGTGATCCGCCCGCTCGCTAATGATTTGGGGTGTCAGCCAGGACACCAAAAGCAAATCTATGCTGTCTTCAAAGAGCCTGAGCCCGGGTTTCCATCGGCAGCCAACTTCTTCTGGCGCCATTGCCATTCTACAATTACAGGCAAAAAGTGCCACAGATCCAATTCCGGCCACAAGCAATCCAGGAACTTGATCTCGGTATTCTCGTGGCATTGCCAAAGCATAAAATCCGAAAGCCTCGCTACGCCAGAAGTTCGAATAAGGATATCCAGAGGCGGCGCATCTGCCGTGTATGTATTCTTTGTGAGAATTTCCGCGTTGATCATCTCGGGATCAGGTAGGGTCTGCTCGGATTTTGAGGTGGGCTTGAGGATGGGTGATGTAGAATGTGAGGTCTGTGACGATGGGGCTTCAAGATTTGACGAGTTCTCCAGATCTTGCTCGGACACAGAATCGGCGTCAGACGTGGTGTTGGAAAGTTCTTTACTTGCGGAGTCCTCTTCTGCGACATCTGGTAACTGTCGACTCAGAATGGTTCGCTGGATACGTGTCTCGCTGAACGGCCTCTTAAGCTGTGGTCGCGTGGGAGGTCTGCTGAACTCTCGGACGGTCTCTCGTACGCTGTGCGTGATCTCCTCGCGACCAGTGTAGGGAAAGCAGACATTTAGGACGGCGTCCTCGTTATGCTTGGTCATGTCCACGGCGAGGTCGATCTGGTCTTGCACGTCTTTCCGAATCAGACTCCTGTCACCCAGAATTCTCACTGACGCTCCATAGCGATCCAGCAGCTCGCCATGCTGGGAGAGTTGCAAGAGCTTCGTTTTTGCCATGTCCATCAATCCATCGACCTCGTACTTGCTTCGCTTGAAGTTCTCGATACTGAAAGCGTATATGGTGACCACTCTGACACCGCTCTTGTAGCAGACTTCTAGAATTCGCGCCAGCGCCTCGAAGCCCATATGGTGTCCTTCCACGGTCTCAACCTTAGATTTCCGTGCCCATCGCCTGTTGCCGTCCATGACAAAGCCAATGTGTTCTGGAATTGGCCCGCATTTCAGACTGCCTATGAGCATTTCTCGCAGTTGTTGGATGCCCCATTCTACAGGCGGCAGTGAAAGTAACCAGTTTCGCAGGTGAGCGCTGTGTGGTGTAGCCATTGTGGTTGAGGATATGGCGGTCAGTGTGAGAATATTGGGGAGAAAAGGGTTTATGCGCGTTATGTTTATGGAGTCGACGACATCGGGAGGCGCATTCGCAGGTCGAGAAGTGGTTGCGCAATGAGAGAGGCAATTTGAGTAGCAATGAAGCTGCTGTTACGTGGTATTGTGGCTGGTGCAAGCCCGCGGAGCTGAGTCGTGGTGTGCGTGGGTCTCTTGGATGCTTGGATACGTCGTGTTGAAATCCTTGTTTGCTTAAGCTGCTGCTTCACGGCTGCCAAGCGGTGACATCAGCCCTGACATTCATTATTGGCATCGATTCATTGTAACAGCCCACTACAAGTTCTCACACAGCACAAAAATCAGGGGAAGATCTATCTACTCAAGAGAAAAGGCAAGAGAAGGAGACAGGTTCACTCAACCATGCCTATCCAAGGCCTGTAATCGAATTATTAATGAGTGCTAGCAATAAAGCCCATTACTCTGATGCGTCGTTGTATTGATGTAATCCATGCTCCCCATGCCATTGAATTCACTTGTCGTCATGCCGATATCTTCGTACAGTGGAAGATGTTATTTCACTGCTCGACCTGCCAGTCCTCCTTGGCGCCTCCTAGGCGACTCCCATCCGCCAGCGATCAATGGCTTCCCGTTGATGAGGTTCGATCGGCATTTCGTTCATAGTCGCTGGTTGACCCACCTGCGCCATTGATGCATAAGTCATCTGCGGACCTGGTGTCTGCTGCGGATAGCCATACCCACTAGCCATCACGGGATTGCCGTACGCAGGCATCGTGCCTGGCATTACGCTGGTGTGACCACCGTGCAGCGCATAATAAGCAGCGTTGTTCATCATTGATGGCTGCTGAGCTTGCATACCATAGCCCACGCCGGTCATCGCATTGTTCCCATATCCGCCATAAGCCTGCATGCCAGCGGTTGGTGAAGCGAAAGTATATCCCTGTCCTCCACCCATGCCGAACATCGGCTGAGAGCCCGAGAGCTGCATTGGAACACCACCTCCGGTATTGTTGTAGTAGCCGCCTGCGAACGCGCCGTTGGAGGGTCTACTGGTTTGCTGGCCAAGTAGACCACCAAAGCTTTGGATCTTCTGCAGCGGTGCATCCGGTGAAGTGACGCCCTGGAAGATAGTGCTGTTTCCTTGGTAAGCTCCATTTGCAGGTCGGTTCGATGTCTGTGCAAGCAGTCCGCTGCTCGGCTCCCTTGTGATTTGCGGTCTTGAATCAACTAAGGGGTTCCCGAGCATATGCATGGATGAACGCGAATTCTTGTTAAGCAGATCCATCTTGTGCTTCATTTGCTGCTGTTCACTGGCGTGCAGAAGCGTGCCGTGTGCGGCTGAGTGATTAGCTGACGCACCACGCATGCCAATGGGATTCGCTGATAAGACGCTGGCCATTGACTGCGTTTGACGTAGCGCTGGACGAGTTGCTGCGCCAGGCGAAGGAACTTCTCCAGATGCTTCCCGCTCACGTTGAAGTCGTGCACGGCGCTGGCCAAGTGTCTCTTCTTGTTCTGCACCACCGCCTGCTTGGTTTGGCTTGTTTTCCTTCATTGTGCTCTTGTCGTCATCTGGATTCTTCACCTCAAGTCCACCAAATTGGCTAAGGAACTCTTCTGTAAATGTGCTTACAGGTCGGTCGCCATCTTTGCGCTCGACATCGTTTATGGCTAAGTCGAGAGCTTCTTTCGTTTTGAGCCTACGCAGTCGCTGGCCCAATGTCTCCTCCTCGTCCTCGTCATCCGGATTCGGCTGTCCGCGCAACGCCATTGGTGCAGTGGCATTCCTAACTATTGGCCTGGCATGTGGATTCATTCGAAGTCTGCGGCTGCTCAGTGGTTCGTTGTCTTCCATTTCGCGGCGGTCCATCAGCCCCAGGGGTCGATTCCAGTCGCCACGGTTGCCCATTCGTCGGTGTGCATTGCCCTCTCTCGATGGGAACAAGACTCCCAAGGGCACATCCTCATCGACCTCTTCCTCGTCTTGTCGGAGGCTGGGATCCTCCCAGGCAAGCGCAATCTTCTGCCTTTTCCGCTTCTTGGCCTCAATTTGTTCAACAGCATCGAGTTGCAATAGAGTGCTGTGCATACCATTCGGAAACGCGGTTGCAGCGGTCCGATTCCGTGATTTGAGCTGAGCCTTGCGATGTTGGAGTTCTGCCAGTAATGTTGCGGGCGGAGCGTAGAGTACTTCGTCGTCCTCGTCGATATCACTCCTTGCTTCTTGGTCTTTGAAGTCTTGTTCGATCTGCTCGCCATCATCAACTGGGTTGCCGTCGCTATAGACACTCAAAGGTCGCGAGTCACTGGGCGCACGCTCGTGGTCTACGCCTTGGTTCTTAGCCTGTTCGATGAGGCCACCAGAGGAGAGACGCTTCATTGGGTCATCAATCTCGTCGCCAGGTGTCCTGAGGCCCTCTGATCTCGCCATTTCGTCTCCCATGCTCATTTGGCTCTTTCGCTTGCGCAGCTTCTTGCCTCCCTCGTTGAAGTCCAATGCACTTCCTCGACTAGCAGGTCTTCGGTTCTCAACTTCTGCATCCAAGGTGGTGCTGTTTCTCCTGAAGAAATTACCGATACTACTAGAGCGTCTCTTCTTGATCTTCTTCTCTTGCGTGAGCGAGTGTGATGACATCTGTCCAAGTGTGGTTGCCGTGCTCTTCCTATTGTGGTTCGGCCGCTCCGGCGCGTAGACAGTCTTCCTCACATCTCCCGCATAAGGATGGTCAGTGAATGCTGACACTGGCGCGGTCACTGAAGAGGCAAGGATGGCGTCGAGTGTGGCGACAGCGGATTCCGACTTGACCTCGACATTGTGGGGTACAGATGGGTGCTCGAAGAACATGCTCGCTCGTAGTTGCGCTGGCAGATTTTGAACGCTCATACGCTCGTCAAGCATGCCTCGAGGGTGTTCTGATTGTGGTGCTGATTCCGAGCTTGAGCGTTGACTTTTTGTCTCGCCCTCACTAAAAGTAATTGGAGGTATCCATAGTGCTGATTCCCTAGCGCGTGGGGACATGCCCGCTAGCATTTGTGATCTCCTCTGCTGCTGGATGTGCGCGGGCGGTTGTGTCGATAAACGCTTCGGTAGGTTCAGCATGCGTGGGACTGGCGCCGGATAATACACCATGCTGTCCCCGGGCGGAGGAACTCCATAAGACATGGGTCGCGCTCTCGGTGTTCGTAGGAGTGATGCTGCATCGAGCAAGCTTCCTGAGGAGTTGCGCGCAGATATGCGTCGCACCTCATTGCCTTCATCGTCCACTTCGACATACTCTTCGCTGTCCGGATCGAAGTGCACGCCATCGAAGTCCCGGAAGGCAATCTGAGCCTCGTGGAAGGTGTCGGCACTATGCGGTCGCTCGGGAGGCTCAGACTCGATGTGCTCGTGTTGTGGATGCTGGGCCGGTTCATGGTGTTGTATGTGCTGCATTTGCTCGTCGACCGACGGCATGGGAGGGATGGGTTGGAGCGATTCTTCCATCTGGCTGGCGATCTGGTCATAGGGTCGTGAGAAGGAGGACTGCGACGGCTGCCTCGACATTTGGTGCTCCTGGGAGTACAGTGATGCGGTGCTGGGCGCAAGAGGAGAATGCAGAGGACGGCGCTCCTGAAGTGGTTCTGCGACCATGCGTGCGAGCGATGTCTTCGAGCCTGATGCTGCCCGGCTCACGGACGCATGGGTCCAACTTCCGTGCGATCTCACGCTGCCCGTGGGTGAAGCAACGAAGGCTGCGGGTGAATAGCCACCCCAGCGGGCGTTGCTGTTGACTTCGACAATGCTACTCGACGTGGCATACGAAGAGGCTCGAGATCTCCCGCTCTGGCTCGCAGTCTGGCTCCCGATCCTTCGAGCCCTGGGCCTTGGCAAATCTGGCTCTTGTTCGCAAGTCAAGTTTGGGTTCTGGCGACTCCCAGAGCGACTCCGACTTCTCTCCTGCTCTTGCATTTTCCGGATCTCTTCCCCAATATCGCTTCCGCCCTGCGACAGTTCCTCCGCACCGCGTTCCAGTCGCGAGATCGTGTCGGCATGCTGAAGACCCTGCGCATCTATTTGGGGCATCGGGCAGTAGACTTCCCGCTTCTCCATTGGCGCGCGGTCTTGTCGCCACGGTGGGCGAGCAGCAAAGCAAGGTGAGATGTGGGGTCGCGACGTGCATTCTCGCGCAGGGCAGCGCAGCGCGAGGAATCGCCAGTGAACAGATGCGAGAGGGGAGGATTACTGCAGCTATCAATAATCACGCTGCTGCTGAACTGAAGCGGCAATATAATAATAATCGCGTGCTGCATTGACGCTCGCAAGGGCTAGGGCTAAGTTAGCCGGCAAGCATGGATCGTCGGTGGAGGCGAACCACGTAGCCAGGTAGCCTTTGGGCTGCGCGCAAAGCAGATGCATATAGGATAGATACCTCACCCAAAGCATGTCACGCACTGCTGGAAATGATGTCCGACATCCAGAGCCACTGTCAGAGCCTATTCTATCTCCCATCGTCCAATTGGCCTGTGCAGGATGCAGTACAATCAGTCTCATCTCATCTCAATAATACCGACAGCTTTAGCCGGGACGAAGCTTCGCCATCAGAGCCGGGCTACTGTAGGACTGCGTGTGTGTCGTGTCTGCGTGACCTTGACACTTCGATAGCTCTATGCCAGTAGTGGCACTGTGACAGCAACACCTCGACTTTCCTCACCGCGTCGTTGGCAAGTAGTTGTTCATCAGAAGGTCGTCGACTCGTCGGCAGACAGCCAAGACAGCGGCCGCGGCCGACACCAGACCTATTCCAGACGCGTTCAACTTCCAACACGCCGGGGCACTGGCTATCGAACAAGGTCATCATCATCACCCTTGCGTCCACAATTTCGACCATCCTGTTTGCTTGCCACATCCGGACAGACTGCCCCGTCACCAATGGCATTCAGAAACACATCCCGCGACGATGTGACCATGTCCGGTGGAGCGCTGCACAATGCCTCGCAAGGCCTCCTGCGAATGACCGGCGGCTGGGGAAATGTCTCCGGTCCAGGCCTGTTCATGGTCCGCACCATTTTCACAGGCACCTTGAGCGCCGTGACGATGGGAATCGTAGGAGCCTCCTGCGGCGCTATTGTTTGGGGCACCGCCACTTTGCCATTTCTTGTGTGTAGCTGTTCGGGCTTCATTTTTGGTGCGCTGGGTAGGTGTAGCTGTGCAGCGACGGCTTATTATTGGCTTGGAGAGGCTGATTCTGCGCGCAGGGTTCTACAGAGATGCTGTTCGACAGGCCTTGATCAACGTTGATCGCTATCCGAGACTACTGCAGCTGCATCTGGACATGAATTTTCCATGGCGTGGGTGGAATCAACACAGAACCTCCGAATTGACCAGTCATTACTTTCGACGAAGCTGGGTATCGACGAGCATGCTGGTTTGCGCATGGCTCACAGCTCAGCCAGCGCTCGATGTGAGTCTTGCTCTGGGAAAAGATCTAGCAGTGGATCATGACTGATGCTTGGGCAGGAGATTGGAGAAGTTCGAGAGCGCAGCCTAATTGAAGCAGCCGCCAAAGCAGGTGGCGCTCGCGACACTGGAGTGGATGCTACATATGACAAGCCAGAGGACGCCAAATGAAACGGCAAGACACAAATTCCATGCTGTGCCACTGCCGGACTTGTGCTTCTTCTGCGCATAGCCGCCTGTACTGCGGACTATTGCGTTGGCTGTCCCATCATCATTGTGGCAAAGAGATGTTATTGCGACACGACAGGCCGCTTAACGCTTCTAATTGGCCTCGCTGTGATACATGCTCTGCGAGATCTTCAACCCGCTGTGAGAGTGCAGCGTTTTGGTTGAGACATGCTCTCGTCATCCGTCGCAGACGAATCACTTGCACGGACTCGAGCCTGCTGCGCTGGTACATTTAGGCTCAAAATCCAGCTTTCTGGAACTGCAGCCTCGTCTTCTCCACAACTTCCATCGTCATGACAAACACCGGATGCACTGGCACAACCAGATCCTGCTCATCGACCTTCCACGCCTGCATTTCCTCCTTCGATGGCAGCTCAGCAGTCCAATTGAAGCCAGCGGTCAACCTCCCGCTCTCGTCTTTCGTAGGAGCAGTCGAGTCATAATGGTAGTGATTCATGGCTGCGCTCAGGCCAGCCAATGAGTACAGCGTGTGGTACGCATCAGGTCTCGTCGAGGGCTTGTCGCGCATACCGCCCTTCTTGCCTTGCTGCTGTCCACAGCAAAGCAGATATCGGATCAATGCTTCTCTGCTCCAGAGATTGGGCGTCTGGCCATTTGATCCCGCTATCGCCTGCTCTATCAAAGCCCAGCAGCCGCCTACCCAATGGCTGTAGCAAGCATCCACGAGCTTGTTTGTGCGACCAGCGAATCCACCTTCGGGGTGTGTCTGAATGCCTGTAAGCCACCGGAGCAAGGAATCCACATTAAGGTACTTTGGGATGCTTCTGTGGGGAGAATCAATGATGCTCAAGCAGGCGAGCGCGCAGAAAGCATATGCACCATGCGCCTCGTTCGTCGGTGCGCCAGCAATGCCTCCTTCATACGTCTGACACTTTCCAACCCACTCGCCAAGTCCATCGAAGAATGTGGTAAGGCCTGCTTCTCTCGCCGGCGCGTCGGGTGGTAATTCCAGTGGCAGATTCAACAGAGTGATGGCAGTCATGGCGCAGTAAGCCCCTCTTATGTCTTCCTCCGCACCAAGCGCCATTCGGAAGCCTCCATCTGCTTGCTTAACTTGTCCCAAGAAATGCCACATTGCTTTTCGATCCACAACCTCAAGACCTCCCACCGTCGCAAGCGCGAGCAGTGTAGCATAAGTCCCTGCGGCATGACTGTACTGGCCATGCCCACCACCAAAGCCGCCGCTTTGATTCTGTAGCGGTCGCACAGTCTCCATGAGATCTTGCTTCCGTGAAGTGACGTCTTTACCCAAGAATGATAGTCCGCCCATCGTCCAATAGAACATCCAAGGTCTGCTGGCATCCATGGCTGCAAAGGGCGCGGGTAGCTCACCGGTGAACTGGTCCAGGAACGAAGCATGCTTTTCTCGATTGAGGCGCGGTATGCCATAGCTATTGAGAGGCAAGCCCAGAGACTCCTCTCCGCGTAACAGAGGAAGACATTCTTTCGTAGTCTTCTCCTGCGCTTCTGACGTTTGCGTTTCGAGGTCGTCGTGCAGGAGATTGAACGTGCCGTCCTGAATCCAAAGCGGCAAGTTTTGCAGTTTCTTTAGAATTTTCTTGCCTGGAAATGGGGGACCTTCGTCATCGTCGACGACATCTTCATAGGCTTCATCGTTGTCATCCGACGGTAGTTCTTCGATGCGATTTCGTCTGAGCGTTTCGTCCAGGGTGTCTTCGGTTTCTGATGCTCGGGAGTCACCCATGTTGACCTGTGTATCCGCAGCGAAGGGTGCACGTGCGGTTTTTGAGCTGTGTGGTGCAAAGTGATGTGATGTCTGCTTCAAAGAAAGATATTGCCAAACGCGAATTGTTTCCAGAAATGCATGCGCTGCTTAGTATTGTTCCGGAGGCATGTTGTCGATCGGGATGCAGTAAGAAATGCGGGCTAGCAAACGCGGACGTATATGCCCTTTGTCTTACTGGTGAAAGTGACCTGCTCGATCAACGAAGCAGTTTCTATCGTGAGAAGTTCCTGCCAGATGGAGAAATGGTGCAACGACATGCAGTCATGCAGATGCCCTCCAAGCTTGAAGTTTTGGCGGAAGTGACCGGACTTTTGTCAACTGACATGACTTTTGGCATCGAGCATGGCGAGTTCTTTTCCGAGTCGTGGTCGCTGTTTTAGCTGACTTCCATCTCATCCTCTTTTGCTTCTCTCACTATGAACTTCGACAGTGATCGCTAATCAGACCGTACATGGAAGCTTGCCGAAATCCTCAATCGTCGCGAGGTCATATGAGCCTGTATTGTTTGCGCCGTTTCAGCAGGACAACAATGCCTACGTCCTGCAGGCGACGGTGCTCTGAGAAGATGGCAGAAGCATGCTGAGAAGAGCAGTTGATGATGTGTCCAGACACTCCTTGGGACCGTTCAGTCTCCGGCAGGAGCTCGAGGCGCTTCCAACGCACCTCACGTATAGTACCTTAACAAACCAATATGGCGAGGCAAGACATATATTGGATTTTTGTTTCTCGGCGTTTCAACGACCGAGCTCTAACGTATGCAAGGAGAACTTCGTAATGCTACCCTGCTAGTACACCAGGCCTTCGATGGTCTTTATTAAATAGGCTTCAAATAACATACACTGCGATTAAGCGAGATGGCGGACGGGGGTAATCCCCGTAGACGGCAGCTAGCTGAAAACGTTAGACGGAACTTTTAAAGGTACGGA